TCAGGGCACTGTTGTCTGACCCCAAGTGTCTTTGACAACAGCCTGGTTCCCTCCTCTGAGGAGTTTGTGGCTCTTTCCAGAGGAACTCTTGAAAACTTAGATGCAGCTTCCTCTGAGCAACTTTTGGGAGAACTTATAAGAAAAATGGCTGTTGTGGGTGGCCATTGTAAAGAAGATATTTTGTTGTCCTTCCCTGAAAAGTTTGTTAAAATCACTGGAGGAAAGGGAACAAATGATACCAGCAAGACTGACAAGGATCATTCACCCCAAGGAGAGGAACACAAGGGTATTTAAATCCTACAAGAAGCCCAGCTCAAGTAGCTAAATTCCCAAGTAATTCCTGAATTCACAGGCTTGGGGGCTTTTCCAAATACGAGAATCATTATTATCTTTGTCCCTGTCACCTTTGTGACAGCTACACAAACCTTTTCCTTCCTTTTAATAACCTGTATTGGGCCAAATTTCCATGTTTCTTTTTATGGAACCTGCCAGCATCTGACTTGGAGCTGTGCTGGAACTGATGAAATTTGGAATTGCCAAAGAATTGCTTCTGTTGTTGGTTTATTAATGTTTGGGATTTGTTTGCATTTCCATCACAAGTGACTTGTGGGAAGAGCAAATCTTCCTCAAGGCATTTTATGTAGGGTTAAATTTAATTTCTGCTGAGTTTGTTTTGTCCAATGCCCAGGGGATGCTCAAGGGGTCTCTGGTCCCTAATTTTCTTCTGATTTGGCTTTATCACTTAAAAACACTTGAAAAATGACTAAAATTATTATTGACCAGAGATGTCAGAAGTCCCACCATTTAAGAGGTATTTGAGGTGGAATTTACAGTTTGGGAACATATTCTGGAGGATTTGTGGGTTCTTGGGTGATATGTGGTAGTATTTTCCATATTTTTGCACTCCAAAATCCAAGGTGGATTGCTCTGTCATCTCAAAATGATTCAATCCCACTTGAAACCCCTCAATCTTACCCCAAAATGACTCAATCCCACCTCAAATTGCTGGTTCCCACCTCAGTCCCATGCCAAAATTACTCTATTCTACACCCTCCAGGGTGAGATGGGGAAGGAGATTGGGAGAAGTGAGATCCAAATTTGAGGTTGTGGGATCAGGAGTGTGCGGGGCTGGGTGGGTGTGATTTATTTTGATAATAAATAAAACTATCAGAATTATTGTTTTCTGTCCCATTCATTTTCTGTCAGTTCTGGTTTGCTTTTCAGTGTGCTGCCTTCTCATCTGATTTTGTTTCTGTCCTCCTGTTCCAGACTGAAAAGCAAGATGTGTTCTATTTGCCATCTACATGGCAGTTGTCCTGTGTTAAGTGGGCAGTTTTTCCTTATCTCTTCCACA